GCAGCTACGGTGTCAATCCATCTCCTGGAGGGCCTTCCTTTTCTAACCTGTCCTAATTTCTTAACATCTTTCCTCAATATGACCTTGCATTCCTTCCCAGACCACCTGGCATCTTATCAGCACTGCCAAGAGCAGGTCAGTGGCAGGGATCTCCAAGGTTAACAAGCCACGGAAAGACGATCATGAGGAAGCAGAACCATAAAATGAAGAATAGAGATTCACTGCCGTAAGAAGAACTCAGGGTTTCTTGACTAGGTGTTGTTAGCTGCCATCAAATTGGCCCCTGTTCGGGGTGACTCCATGCACAATGGAACAAAATGCCCTGTCACCCCACAATCAGTTATAGATCAGGCATTTGTAGCCCACAGAGTTTTCACTGGATGATTTTCAAAAATGGATCACCAGCCTTTTCTTCCTAGTCTGTCTTGGTCTGGAAACTACGGAAACTGGTTTATCATTAAACTAACACACATGTCTCCACTGATAAGTAGTAGTAGATTAGCACTTAGTAGATTGGTCAGGACCTAACCCAGGATTCACACACGGAAGGCATGAATTCTACCACTGAACTACTGCTTCCCTATACTAGGTGTACAATTGGTAAGTTTATGGTTGATTACAAATGATCTCTGAGTAGACTATGGCCGGGCAATTGTTCAGTTGCAGAGTGGATTTTCTATTCTTTCTCTAAATTTCTAGGAATAATCATCAACTGATTATCTCTGAGTATTACCTTTCCACTCTCCTTTCATGTAAAGTAATTGCAATCAGATAACAGACCAGAAGGAGGAAAAAGTTAGACGAGTATCTGACAGACAACAGTTAGGAAATATAGGGATTTTCTAAGATCTCTATCTAATATCTGGCTTGTTGCAGGCACTCAATAAATATTGACTGAATGGGATTTCTAGAAACTGAGTGATAAGGTTTTTCAGGTCTTCAGAACAAGATTATAGAATTACTGAGAGGACCCAGGAGGTGGATGCCTAAATTCATCAGGAGCAAACCAGAGAAACTGGAAGAGACATGTCCCAGGCAGAGCTGGACCCCCAGAGAATAAGACAGGCACTCTTCTTGACTGCCACACCTAGAATGATCCTGGGACTTAGATGGTGGCCCCCAGACTCCCGCCTGCAGGCCAAGGAGACAGGAAACAGTTCTCTAAGGCTTTACTATGTAATCTAGACTATTTGACAAGAGAGTGAAATTCAAGGTCTTATCTGGGGAGCTTCAGGAAGGATAACATAGTGTTGGGAATGGTAAGTAACTTTTCTGAGGGAAGCAGGTCCTAGATTTTATGTTGTATCCCCCCCCCCCCCAATGCCATAGAAACAGAGAATTCAGGTCAGGAAAGATGACTAGAGGTTAGCCAATGTAGACACCACCCCAGGGGAGGGATTCTTTCTACGCCATCCCTGACAAGATGCTCCCTTTCTCCAGGGGCAGCACCAGTACTGGTGGACAGCTCCTGAACAAAGGCTGTTCTGGTTCCTGCCACAGTCCAGATCTAACTGCTACCCAGTGAGCAAGGGACATCTTGCTTGCTCCCTTCTGAGGGGCAGCTGAACTAACATGTGAAGGCAGATATTAATCCTGGCGGCAAAACATCTCTCACTCCTCCAGCTGCAGTGACACGATTTGTGGATCCTTCAATGTAATGATCACTGTCCCCAACAGCACTCTAACTGGTCAGTGTAGTCCTTCAAGCTTTGCTGGAAGAGTTGAATATTGCAAGCTTGAGTGCTGTGGCCCAGGCGTGGCTGCACTGCACAGAGGATGGGGGCGCTGTTTCATCCTATCCCTTTATAAATGATCACAGCCATCTGTCTCATCACCGATTCCAGGATGGTGCCCAGAATGGCCATCAAACCAGCTAATTCCTAGATTCTGAGATCTTCTTTCATCATTTGCCCTTAATTCCTGTTCTCTGCAAGCTGGTTCCTCTTAAATGCTACCAGCTTCGTCTCATCTGTCTTCCCTTTTATAGCTACTAGTTGGCAGGTAAACGTGGGTTTCCCTAACATCCTCAAAAGGCCCATTCCCATTTGTCATGAACCCTCAATCTACCTGGCAAGCAAGGTTGTAGTCATTTGTTAGATTTAGAAATTCATATCAAATGTCACCTACAGACCCAACCACAGACCCCGTGTGTCCGTGAGCATCCTGGACATGAGATAGGGTGCTTTCTTCTCATGGGTACCAGTTGTCCTGGGTAGACTCTGATTCTTGGTGGCCCTGAGTGTCGGCGCCACAGGGTTTCCAGTGGCTGATTTTCAATAGAGTGCCAGGCCTTTCTTCTGAGGTGGATTCAAACCTCCAACATTTCAATTAGCAACTGTGCATGTTAACCATTTGACCAACTGGGCCTTCCTTCCCATCAGTATCATCTGCTTAAACTTTCAGCTCAATTTCCCTTCTTCTAAATCCATGGCTATATCCAAGTGTGGAAAATCCTTTCCCTAAACGTCATCAGACTTAGAACGATCCTGTTCTAGAGTTTGTTTCCCACAGCCATCATGTGTTCACTGTGGTCAAGGGAAGCTGGAAGTGACCAGTGTGATGCAGAGTGGCCCACATACTCCTGGGGAACACAGGTTTCCCAGGAGGGAGAGAGCAAGTGCCATAGACCAACAACTCTACCCCCAGCAGGTGGCAACAGGATTTGTCCTCCCACCTGCCCGCATCTGTGAATAACATCTCAGGACGCAAGCTTGTGGCCACGCTCTGAGAAGCAGACAGCTTGCTTCTAGTATGTTCCTCCAACAATAACACAGTGTTTCTTCTTCCTCGGTCTCTCCTGGGCTTCGTTTTACTTCATGTCACCATAAAGATTTTCTTTTTAGATGGTTTCCCACCCGTTTTGGCCCAATCTTTTCTTAACAAGTCAGAATGAAGAAAGATATCCTTCCAACCATGTTCCCCATCCATTCCAGAGAAAAGACAAGTGTGCCAGAAGAGAGAACAACGTGCCCTTCCTATCTCCAGGGTCCCGATGTCTTTAACTCTAAAAGAACTGAAAGTCCATTATGGGCCCCTGCAAAAACTCCACTTGCAAATTGCTTTAGAAAATGCCAGGTTTTATACCTGCTAGCAGTGTACTTCGGGGAAAGGTACTATTAAAAACTGCTTAGACCTTAGATGGCTAAATTACTAAAATTCCCTGGATCAATCATAGGTTATTTAGTCTATCTCTGTGTCTGTGGGGCACATGAGACTATTTCTTCAGTGGAAAGATCTCTAGGAGGGAGAGAAGCCCCTAGTGTATTAGAAAGTCTGATACCTCATGCATTCAAAGTTTATGGGATCTTCTTCTAACGTAACCCTATTGAGACTTACGACCTTTTATCTTTTTTTCTTTTTTTCAGTCCCCAGTGGATGCCATCAAGAAAGAAGAGAGACATGAATTGGCATGTACTTGCTCACAGCCTTGTGCTAGGAGCGCTCCCACTCCATTCAACAACTTCTCAAGCACTGCAAAACCGCCCTTAAAAAGACCCCTTCACCACCTGCCCACCTCCATCCACCAGTCTCTTTATATTTGTCTTCTCTCTGGCGCTCTGAAATGTAGAGCCTGACTCACGTGGGGACACCTGCTTCTAGAACTGAATCAGCAGGTTCAGAAATTCTCCAAGCTCTCCCCACAAAGGAAGAACAGACTACAGAGCTCCTCCTTCCCTATAGTCTCTGTATATGCTTCCTAATCCTCCTGTCTGCAGAAATGGTATGCAGATAGACCAGGGGAAGGTCCAGAACACCCCAGACATCACTTCTCATCTACCACAAAACACAGAGCAGACTCCAGCTCCATCCAGTGAGAGGGAGAGGAGTCCTCTCTGCCTAAAGGTGGGCATGGGCGTCAGAGGGTTGAGTTCTAGGCCAAGCCATCAACCCTATGCAAGCAGCTCGCGTTCTGTTTTGGCCTTGCTCCCCAAGCAGGAGGTCCCTGGGTGGCACAAAGGGTTTGTGCTAGATTATGATAAAGGTTGGTGGCTCAAACCCACCACACATGCACACGCACACGCACAGGCTTGGTGACCTGCTTCTGTGGAGGCCACAGCTAAGGAAACCCTATGCAGAGCTATCTGGTCACACATGGGCTCCTCATGAGTCCGCATCAACTCAAGGACCACAGGCTTGGTTCGGGTTGGCTCGCGGCAGAACAGGAAGCCTCTTTGCCTGCATTCCTGCCAAGTGCTCTGTGGGCTCTCAGCATCTATGCTCCTTTGACGAAGCGAAGGCCTCTCTCCCTGTTCTCAAGAGATATCCACCCCACCTTGGCATGTCTCCTCCCACCCACCTCTGCACCAGTAGGTGTCACTTCTCAACTCCTTCTCATTAGCCCCCTTCCTCCCCTGAAAGTGCTCCTGTCAGACAGGTTTTCAATCATTGCCCCAAGGACATTTTACTAAGGACAAGGATGCTGCATATCTGTTCAAGGAGTGTGTGTGTACCTGTGCTGTACACACCAAAAAGTAAGCGTTTCATCCCCCAAGAAGCAATGTCCACCTCCTCGGGTAGACAATGTCAGCACTGTTGAGAACACATGACCTACACTGAGCCAAGGACTGTCCCTTGAGGAATGAGACCAGTGGTTACTTACCCCAAACTCCAATATATATATATATACAGTCACTAGCCAGAGGCTGTAACAATAATCCATTGCACAAGCCACTGTGGATTGGCCCGTGCTATCCGACTTCCCTCAGGTAAAGCAGCTTCTCATTCCCAGCCCCCTTCCTGGGCCACTCTGTCTCCTGGTCCGGGCCCAGTATGGGTCCCCTGAGCCTGGGGCCTTCCCCTCTGTCCACAGTTCCCATTCCATTCATAGGAATCCCAACAGTAACAATGAGGATGAAGCGAGCAATGGATGAGGAGGCTCCAGAAATCATTAGAATCTGCTCCCAGGGCCCCTGGCAGGGCTGGAGACTCATTCTGACTCTTGCGTCCTCCCAGCGACCCTGCTCCCCCTCATCACCACCCCCGCCACACCCCTACTTTACCTTGGCACGCTGGCCAAATACGTCACGAGCTTCCGCAGGTCTTCCTGTCTTATTCTGTCATGATTGCTGCGGGCAGGAAAGGTCAGGATGGGTCCACCTCGCTTATCACGGCCCCCTGCAAGGAGGAAGAGGAGGCAGGTTAAAGCCAAAAGCATGTTCCAGAAGGAAAAAAATCCATTTAACTGGTTGGATGCAACAGGCAGAAAGAAACATAGTGCCCAGAGAAAACTGCCCTTGGGCCCAGGACACAGGATGTAGATGCACACACCGTGTGCGACCTTGGGCACATTGTGGGACTTCTCGGAACCCTCAGCTGTAAAATGAGGATGGAAGTCATACTGGCCGCTTTGCAGGGCTTGGCTGATAAGCCCACTAGGAAGTTCTCTGACCATCAGTCTAAGGAAAACGGGGATACTGTAAGCGTTCTTATTAAGAAAGTGGTATGGGTTCTAGAAGCTTGACCTCCAGGCCACTTCCTTTTGCGTATACAGACCTCTGTGAGCATCAGGGGAGCCGGCGGCCATCATGGAGAGAATCCTGCCCATTAGGGACAATATTGCTGGGGGGTTTAGACTCAGAGACAATATCTTAAGTATTTCCTACAAAGCAGAGAGCCATCCTGCTTGCCTGCCCCAGGTGTCACCTGTCACTCCTGCTGGAAAAACACCTGAATCTTCAATGGAAAGGAGGCTGCTCTGGTCTTAATCACTTCAAATGCCTATGCAGGCAGCACATTGCAAATGCCTTCAAAGTATCACGTGGGAAAGCTGAAAGGCGGATATTACAATGATCTTTGCTCTTAGAAGGCTCTCCTACTTTCTCTTCTCTCCACCCTCCAAGCTTCCTCTTCATTATGATGCGATCTTCTAATGCACTTGTTAATGTGTGGCTACAATTAGGAAGAGGTGCTCTGGTGGGTCACATGCTGGGTTGCTAACCACAGATCAGAGGTTCAAACCCACCAGCCACCACAGGGAAGCTCAGTGTGGGTGGAAAATAAAGGGAGCTTTGGGTTCCTATCAAATGGGCAGCCCCTGAAGCTCTTGTGGCAGTTCCCCTCTGTCCTGTGGGATCACTGGGAGTCAGCATCACTTGGCGGGTGGCAGTGAGCTCTGGTTGGTTTATAATGAGGAAGCAGGACAATGTATCCCAGGAGGGGTACACTCAAATGAAGCTGGGTGCAGTAAGCTGTCCTCCCAGGGCACCAGTGATGACACTAGGAAATGCTCTCCTCATGAGGAGAGACTCCCCTCCTCTTTCCTCAGGCCGCCCCCTTCTCCCACCTCCCACAAAGAGGGGATCCTCCCACAGAGGATCTAAGGCAAGACGGGAGAAGGGACAGCAGGGCCATCCCCATACCAGAAACGCCACTGGGCACACAGTCTTCTGCAGAGCAGCTCTCTTACAGGGAAAAGGCAGAGCCTTCAGGCCCCACCCACACTGAGCTAATGAGAACCACTTCCCTCGTGTGGTGGGGTGCAGGGGCCGCCAAACACATCAAGAGGGAGAGCTTGGCAAACAAAACGCCATCAACTCCAGGATATCCCGGAGGAGGAAACACAGAAGCAGGAAGGGGAAGAGGATCAAGCTGGATGGAGGCCACGGAGAGAGGATTTGGTCCCAGTGAAGACAATAACGTGCCAGTCTCTCCAGCTGCTCAGGAAGTGAAATTTGTACAGATCTACTAGCGAGTTCGATCCCGGCTCCAGACCTTCCTGCCTTACTCCTTCAGACTGATAGCGACGCCCATCTACCCATCTTACAAAAACAGTCTCCAGCTCCCGAGGAAACGGAAGTGGAAGGACTGAATGAAACTGCCCCCAAAGCTGCCAGGCTAGCTCTCACTCTCGACTTTCCATCTTGACCTTAACCTAAGGATGATCATTCTTGGGCAGGTTGTAGACACAGCTGTTGGAATTCTTCCTGACCCTCCATGAACACCTTCTGAGTAGATCCGTGGAAACATGGGGAGCAGAGGCTGGCCTGACTGTTAAAAGTGGACCAAGGCTGGTTGGCATCATCCCTCTCAGGTAGGAGCACTGACAGCGGGGAAAGGCACTTCAAAATCACAGTCGGGGAAGGGTCCAGAGAACGGGGGAGGGGCAGTGAGGACAGAAAGCCTGGGGGACGGACAATCCGTTCCTTTCTGAAGTGTGGAGTCAAGAATGGAACAGCAAAATCAAGTCAGATAAGAAGAACAAGACAAACACGCACAGTGGAAGAAAATCCTAATGCTGGAAACAGTGGGGCTAAAAAGGGAGTAAGATCACAGAGCAGGTACACAGGCCAGGGGTCTAGGGGGCAGGTGGATACATTTACCTCCTTCTGTAAGGCAGGATGGCAAAATTCAAAGAGGGAAGGGAGAGTGTGGAAAGACAAGAGTTTGGAGAGACAGGAACTTGGAAAAGAAGATGTTTATCCTACCAATGGGGATATTGCTCTTTGAGGGCAATAGGAGAACCTAAAATCGAGAGCCAAGGTTGAGGTGCTGAGGAGAAAGGAGGGGCAGCACCATCCGTAGAGGGCTTCTGGAGAGCATAAGCAGGGGGCTGGGGACTGGGGGCTCAGGGGATAAGATAGCAGGCTGCAGGAGCACAGTGGGAGCTCCACTGAAGGGGTTGTGGCTGGTACCCACGCTGGACTACACCTTCAATGAAGTCACAATGCAGTTAATGCCTGGTACAATGAGAAGACATTGTGGGGGACTGTGAGTTTCCAGAGAGGAGAGAAGGGGTGCATTTTGTTTATCTGGGATGATCACAAAAAGTCAAAGGTCAGAGGTGAGAATCACAAGATCTTGGATGTGCATGACCATGGTAGGGAGGCAAAGGGCTTTGGTGCCAAGGAGGATTAGGAACCATGAAGCTATCGGATTCCATGGATAATTATTAACCTTGGTGCACAAGTGAGAGTTACCTGCAGGGCTGGTAATTTCAAGATCAGCAGTTCAAATCTACCAGCCACCCTACAGGAGAAAGATGAGGCTGTCTGCTCCCATTGAGATTTACAGCCTTAGAAACCCTAAGGGGCAGTTGTACTCTCTCCTACAGGAGTGCTGTGAGCCCAAATAGACTCCATGCAGAGGCTGGTTGGGGTTTTGTGGATGGGCCGCCGTAAGGAAGACAAACCCGCACTCAAATGCATGTCTTTTATACCCTGTTTCCCCGAAAATAAGACAGTGTCTTATATTAATTTTTGCTCCCAAAGATGCACTAGGTCTTATTTTCAGAGAATGCCTTATTTTTCCATGAAGAAGAATATGGTACACATTTATTGTTCATTGTTTTATTAAAAGAGACCTCCCACTTCCTGTCTGCTCCAGCTGCACTGCGGCCAACAGTGAGCTGCGCAGTGGCGCCTGCCGCTATGGTCCAGAGTCACACTAGCTTCGGTGGGCCTTATTTTGGGGGAGGTCCTATTTTCGGGGGGATGCCTTATATTTTAGTGAGAGGCAAAACTGTAAGTAGGTCTTATTTTGGGGGGGGCGTCTTACTTTTGGGGAAACTGGGTAAGAGCTGATCACAGGGCGTGGGGGACCAATGTAACCATGGCCTGGAAAGGTGATGGAGATTCGGACAAGATTTCCAAATGAGTCCTTCCCTTGCTGAAATGAGCATTGACTCGCTATAGGTATCCTGGTACAAGGCATTGGTGGTAGGTGCTATAGAACAGAGGTGCAGGGAATAAACAGAGGGGAGATGTAATGGAATGTTCTATAAATGACAGTGGTCCTCCCTTTATGGAGACAGGGCAGGGCTGTGGAGAGAGGTAAAGCCCAAAGTGGAAGAAGTGAAGGCTTCCCTGAGTGAGGTGGAGGTGGAGGTGGAGAAGGAATGGGGCACACAGTTTTCAGAGGGGTCACACTGCAGTGAGGGCAAGCAGATTAGGACCATTTGAAGAAAGAGGAAATAAAAGAAGTGAGTCTATCGAAGTACATCAAACGTTTGATCCATGTAGCAATAGACCACATCAAGCTTACTGCTATCTAGTTGAGGAGCCTGGGTAGTGTGATGGGTTATACGTTGGGCTGCTAACTGCAAGGTCCGTGTTGGTTCGAAACCACCAGCCATTCAGAGGGAGAGCCAGGAGGCTTTCTACTCCTATGAAGAGTGACAGTCTTGGAAAAGAAGAGCGGCAGTTCTACTCTGCCCTGTAGGGTCACTAGGAGTCAGAATTACCTTGAGTGCAGTCGGGTTTTTGTTTTTGATTTGCTATCTAGTTGGTCCCAACTCACAGTGACCCTATACAGGGTTTTTGAGACTGTAAATCTTTACAACAGTGGGCAGCCTCATCTTTCACCTACAGAGCAGCTGGTAGGTTGGAACTACTGACCTCATGCTTAGGAACCTAACACCAAACCCACAGAACCCCCGGGGCTCATTCTGTAACAATAGTTCTGCAAAATGTTCATGGAGATATGAAACGCTCCCCATCCCCAATACTTTTTTATGAGAAGGAGGTTATTCTGTAGTTTGAAAACCACCCGATTAACAAAGATAAAAGGGTTCTTTACTGAAGGTCTTCCCATAGCCTTGTGCTAATCCGCCTTAGAGGGTATTGTAAATCCCACGCGGAGTGTATAACCTGCAGTGTTCCTACTCTCCTTTCTCTTTGTGTTGTGGGACTGCTGATCCTTAGAACACCCTTGGAGAGACATGGGTTCAGGAACCAACAGATGGTGCCACAGTGGGTTTCCCTGGATCACTAAGGCCATGCAGACAATGGGGGGCAGAGAGGCACCACCAGGAGGCAGCTGAAAGCAGGGTGCATGTACCCAGAGATAATGGAGGGTGAAATGGGCCCTTCACAAGAAGTCTGGATACAAGGGACACCAGGTGCCAGGAGTGGTGGGATCAACGGCACCCACGGAGCGAGACAAGGGCAGAGGGGAGCTGGCTACCTGTGAGTGGTGGGGCCCATGGAGGGACGCTCACTGGATTACTCCCAATGGATGTTCCCATGGCAGTGTGGCCCACTTCCCCCTCACCAGAGCTGGGGCACATGCCAGGTGGGCGGGCGCTCCCTACCTGTTGGCTTTTCTGCTCCCATTTTCCTTGCGGTGCTTTGTTG